TGAGCGTCTAGCATCCCCCTTCAGAGCTCTCCGCAATCTGCACATGTTTTCTTCATCTGAAAGACCTAAAAGTTTCGTTGTAGAAAGGAACTGTTGATAAAAACTTGGCCACTCAATAGTATCACCGGAAAACGTAGGAAGATCTTTCTCGATTGATTGTCTTGCGAGCAGCTGCCTAATGTCTGTGTCTGGCACAGGATGAGTGGAGCTTGGTACTAGGCTATTGTTTTTATTCAACCCTGTATCATCAAAATGACTGTTGTGGAACGACCTCTTACCTGTCACATTCTTGACACTTTCGTCGACGTACTTTCACTTTGGAATCCACTGAGCAAGATGTATCATCTTCAAATTGGTGTAAATCACCTACCCCCAAGTCATATTCCTCATTCAATCTAGCTTTTTCCAATGCCAACCTATTTTCAATCATTTGCTTCTCCATTTCTAGCTGTTTGGATAACACTTTAGCCATTTGTTCATCAGCTCTTACCTGGGCTTCGATCATTTTTCTTCTATAATTACTGTTAGCATGCGACGACCTGATAGATTTAGCTGCTGAATTCCTCTCAGATTGTCTACCATCACTTCTTTCATGTCTACTGGACGAGATTGCAGATATCTTGTCTTCCGCGGCGTCTCGTTCAGTATTGATGCTCTTTGCTTTATCCATGATAGCAACACGTTTGAGATTCTCACTTCTGGCTTTAGCAGTCTTGCTTCTTGTTTCCATTTGCCGTTCTGTAGGCTGAAGGACCAGCACAATGTATATAATTACCTAAAATGTCCTTATAAGGATCCGGCTCGAAGGACCAGCACAATGTATATAATTACCTAAAATGTCCTTATAAGGATCCGCTCGATGTGACCAGCACAATGTTTATCGATTTTGTTCCTTTACAAATTAGATAACTACTCTTGTACCTTTTTTCGTTTCTATTTATTCTTCGCAAACTTCAACTCTTTTTTTTACCTTTCAAAACCCAATCAGCACAAGTACGTCTTATGGACGTTTTAAAAACGTCCACTCTGGACATTCAGGACGTTTTGGGGACGTCCATTTCCGGACTACGGACGTCTTATGGACGTTTTGAGGACGTCCATTGTTAATAATCAGGATGTTTTGGGGACGTCCAGTTTAGGTCCAGACTAGGACCTTTTTGGGATGAAAATTGGACGTATTGAGGACATTCAGACAATATTGATTATTGATTTTCTGACCCATCTGAAGAGTTAAATACTTGAATATTAGTTAACATTTATTCGCAAACAATAATATGAACAGAGATTCAGGTAGTTGTTTCAATTTCACTCTTCCATATCGTATATCAGAAGCTGCACCACTAAAAACGTCGCGTGATTCATCCAGGTACGCAGGCGCGATGATGTCTTTTTCTGATTGGCAGCCTTCTGTTGTCTACTTCACTGGATCTGTAAATAATAATAACATTCAATAACATCTTCTGTGAATACCATAAACCATAAACACACACCCACTTTCAACGTGTAGTAGTCAGTATAGCGGAATATTTCATTATTTTTATTTCATTGAGAACTTATTCTATACATAAACTGATTCTTAGGTAGGTACCTATATAACCTCTATATGAACCTTGCACGAATTATATTATGTTTTAACTATATAGAAAAATATAAACTTTGGTAGATGATGGAAATAGGATTAGGTATAGAGCTTTGCATGAGATCAAATTATTTAGAAAGGTATCTAATGTTTTCAACTACAGATTTGATGTTCTTACTCAAGCATCTTCATGCGAATGAAAATAAAACGATAGCGTCGATAGCCATACTTGCCTTCAAATAAACATCTCGATGGAACTCGAGATCGAAGTTCACCAGTTGATAGATGATATCCACAAAGATTTCACTTATTCACTGCTTTTACAGTCTAATAACCCGAAAAGTTCAGAATGTCCTTGGACCTGAATCACAGTTTAATCGGCACTCGGCAGTGTTCAACTGACGGACGCCATCTTCCTACGTTTTCGTTTCACAGTTTCACACGTAACACGCACAGTGTTGCCGGATGAAAATTTGTCGGAGCAGTAGATGGGTGGGGAAAAAACAGTAGATCATCAAAACTGAACAGAAGATTGTGATAATCATCACAATTGCTCTCATAAATGAAAAAATATAGTCACCTATATAATAAACGAAAAAAAAAATCATGTTCGGTCTCTATACCTATCAAAAATCGAACGAAGAATAACAAAAAATAATGAAATAAAAAATAAAATTTGTGAAAACCGCAACCAGATTGGAAATAAAAGCTAATTTTCACTAATCAGACTGAATATGATAGTTGCAGTATATTTTTATCATACATCTTCTTACTGTGATGTCCCATTAATTTTTCATTGTTGCATATTGGGTAGTTACGTCATATCAAAACTTGACCAATCAGACCATTACCTTGAATAGTTGAACAGTAGAACGGAGACAAAAACAGTAGATCTACTGCTAAAATAGTCAGTTTGGCAACGCTGAGCACGCATGCGTTTTACGGTTGCTTTACATATTCAGTGATTCAATCAAATCTTATTATAAAAGCGCGGCTTGTATGAATACTTCAGTGTGGGTTTAAGAATGGTCAAACTGTATAGGTATTATGTGATTGAAGGAATATGATTCAACATAACTATATAAGTTGGTACAAATCAGTTAAAATCATAAATATTTCAAATTCATAATATTAATAATAAAATGAAATTCAATATATTGATACAGCTGATATATAATATATTTTTTGACATTATTCATGTCCATATTCAATTCAATAATTCTTATTTCAAAATTTATATATACCTACCTACTTATATCAATTTAAACTAATATACCGTGAGAGTCTGTAAATTGGACGTTTTAAAGATGTCTTTTTCTGGACGTCCGGAGTATGTCCAATAATGGACGTCTTAAAAACGTCCATAAAAGGTCCTGGACGTTCAGACCAAAAATGGACCTAAAATGGACGTCTTCGGGACGTCCCGTGCTATCTGGGAAACATGTCATCTCTCAAAAAATACAATATACAAGGTCATTCGAAATCACTAAAGTTACAAATTCAAATAAAAACCCAACACCATTACATTCTCATTGAAATTGTGTTTGTTTTAGTTTGAGGAAGTCTAATCTTGTGTTTTGGAAGGACTATGATGAGTACATTGAGTGAGCAATATAAAAGCTCGGACAAAATGAATGCTCAAAGATATATGGAAAAAATTGCGTGCATAGGATATGAGGATCCATATTGCATAAACAATTATTCCACGAAAATTGATGATTTGCCACCAGTTTCATATCCAGATATTGTGAATTATCTAGTATTTGCAAGAAGTTCATTTAGTATGGAGCAACTGAAAGCATATAAGGGTTTAGATTCTTACAAAGCTGCATCATGAGGTTGGGTGAGAGACCTCCGCTCTAAACGTGTTGGTGAGCACATATCTTAAGTTTTGGGAAAGCTAAAGCAGTTGACACACATTTATTTATTATTCATATTAACTGTGTAATTGATATTTTGTAGGTTCTGCATTCACAGAAACTGAATCAAAAATGCCTTAATCCTTGAATTATATGTGGAAGTAATGGTACTGTGGAAATGCACATTGTGCCTGTGTTGCTGAGAAACTTGCACAGATGTTGCAGCCATATTATTCTCCATTGATAATTTGGTTCGTCCAACATCATCTGTGGAATCAAAATCTGTAATAGGTGTGAAAGCTTATTGGATATAGCTCCAAGTAGTGAACCTTCTGCGCCCAGCAAAGTTTGTGACATTGATTTCACAAAACCAGGTTCAAGCAAATCACAATTGGAAGCACATAAAGAAGATGCTATAACTTGAACCAACAAGAGATTGTACAATTTTTACAAACAATAAAAGATTCTACAAAAAGGAATAGTGTTCTCCACTCAATTGGCTAAGCTGTTTTCTCTTCTGATATTGTCTAGAACTGAGGGAATCCTAAAAAATCTGACACTGTCTCTCATTCCGAGACTGCCGCAATTCACTACCATATCACAGATGAATACATTGAATTCAATATGTATAAATTATATCTGCAGTAAAAGTTCAACACGACTATCACAAAACAAAATAACAAACACTAATAATAACTTATTCGTCAGTAACAAAGCAGTAAAATGAAAGCAAACATAATAAACTCATGAGCATATGTCGGTAAAATATAAAATCAAAAATACAGTGCTGTAATTCGGAACACGTTTTCATCTGTTATCAGAAGCAGTTGATCAGCTGGTGAAATTTGTCATTTATTAGTTTGTCGTGTTTCGTTTATCTGGCCAATTATTTCAATGACACGCATTTTTTACATAAAAAAATGATATTATCAATTCGCTATTGATGAGACGAGACTTGATGTTTAAAAAACAACGAAAACAAATGTGACATTCCTTCTTCTTCTGAAATAATGAAAGTTCACTGAAGCCACACTACCTTTTGATAGTCAGCAATTGCAGCAGAATGTTAAGTCGGAATATTTGGAATGAATAATATGTCTCCTCACAAGTCTCTGTCACTTTCAGTATTTTTTTTTATTTCGGAATGAAAAATCAGCAGATTCAGTACTGTCAGTTGAATTCGGAATATAGCCAATATCTCCACACGGTTTGTTTACCCTCCAAGCGTGCGACCTTCAACGTTGTGACGTCAGCCGTAGATGGTCAAACTTGGGTGTTCGAAAACATGTTCACTCCAGTTCGTTCTCGTGAGTGGCTTATCTTTTTTCTTATGGTATCAAGAAACATGAATCGATGTCATTAATGATAGTTTGGGGGCGAATAATTTGAATGAGATTCTCGAGTGGGAGATGACCAGATATGACCACAAACGGTCTAGATAGTAGCTATGTCAGTACTCCATACCGAAAGTCATGGCTGTTTCAATTATTTCAAACATATATGACAATTGTGACATATGAATTAATGAGTTGAAATGACAAATGACTCAAACACGATCAAAATTGAAATGTCTGTAAACAAGCAACATACAGTAGTAGTATTCTTGCGGTGATCGTTGAGAGGTGCACATCGTTGACCTGTTCCTATCTTGATCCTAACCTAAGAAAAGTAGATATTAACAAGTAAGTGTATAGTAGTTGTTTTGGGTTGTCTGATCTTTTTTAGATAAGCTTTGGAAGATATTTAACTTTGTGAAACATCTTCACTTTTTGATTCTATATAATTTGAGATATTATCAATTATTATCTGGTGAATAAACTGATTAGTAGTCAATAACATGGGGGATAACTCCCCCGGGAGACCGGGGGGAGGTGATTTGACTTTGGATCATGACACAAAGATTTTCAAAGACCTGATAGAGAGATCTCCATCGACGAAGGAGGCAGTTAATAACTTATTTATTTTTGCAAATAACTGTCAGTATAACCCGCAAAAATGTAATGAACTAATTACAAATATTACTATTAAACAGGATTTCGTACAGGAATGTGGGGAAATTTTGAAAGATGGATATTTTCTGAATAGTGAAAGTGATCTGAAGGTCAAATTGCCTCCGAGAGTTAACATTCTTGCCGATCTAGTTATAAAAAAAGCAAACAATGAAGCACAAAAAAGAGACATCTACAAAAAAGATGACAATAACATGACAAAGAAATCTAAATTGAGTGATAAGGAACTAAATGAAAATGAAAATATGGATATTATGAATGACTTGCGGGACTCTGATAATTTTCTGAATGTTTCTTCTCAAAATATAGATATAATGAAATTTGAGTATTTGGACCATGGGCCATATAGTATATATTTAGAATCTACAGATGGAAATGTTGGATATCTCTCTAACTTGGCAGTTGGAAAAATTTTTCATCAAAACTCTTCATATAATCCAACTTCAATTGAAAGAAGGGGGAAAAATAGATTAATGATTACTTTCAAAAAAATTGAGGAAGCAAATAAATTACTTGAAGATAACCAATTCCTATCAATAAATAAATTTCGAACTACAATACCTAACAATTTAATTACATCAAAAGCTATTATCAAAGATATTGACACAATATTTTCTGAAGATGAAATAAGGAGTAATATGAAGACCATTGATAATAGAAGAATCATTCATGTGAGAAGATTGAAAAAGAAAGTAAGAAACAATGGAGAAATTGAATATAAAGATATCCCAGTTATTTTAGTCACATTTAGAGGAAAGTTTATACCAAATAAGGTATTTATGTACTCTTGCAGTTTTGGGTAAAAGTGCACTTATCATGCGATGGGGTTTTTTTCGAAAATTTTTTTTGGTACTTACGTATTTTCGTCTGAAAAACACGAATTTCATAATGAAAATGTGAACAAACCACTATTTATTGAGATATTTCAAGAAAAAGTTCGAAATTTTGCCTTCTTTTCCCCCTTGTGTTGGATGCATTTACAGGTACTTGCTCTTATTATTTTGTCATTGGATACTTTATATACTCATGATGTACTTCACTGACACATTTTAAGATAGGAAATTCAACAGGAAATATGATTTTTATGGCGAGTTTTTCCTATTTAGTGAGCAAGCATACCAGATGACGGCCATTTAATCCATATGCAATCCAAATACGAGATGTCAAATGTCAATAGATTGCTTTGGAATGACATTACACACGCCATTATTTCAAATGATATTCTTCCTTCTTTTCACTAAACATGGATAAATCACAAGAAAATCATATTTCTAGTTGACTCAAATAATAAAAAAAATGTGTCCAACATTGTGTGATATATATAAATTGTCCAATGATGGAAAAAGAAGGGCAAATTGTTCTAAATGTGATCCAGAAGACAGGCGGAAAAGATGGTGAAATTTGTAACTTTATAGTGAAATATCTTAATGAATAATGGGTTGTTCACATTTTCATTATGAAATTCGTGTTTTTCAGACAAAAATACGTAAGTACCAAAAAAAATTTTCGAAAAAAACCCCATCGCATGATAAGTGCACTTTTACCCAGTTTTGAAACCCTGAATTATTATGCGCCTGTCATGCAGTGCCACAACTGCCTAAGGTATGGTCATACAAAGGCACAATGTAAGGGTAAAGTCAGATGCCCTAAATGTGCAGAGAACCATACTTTAGGTGCGTTCGGTTTAACAAAATCGGAGCGGAGCGAGCAGATGCAGATTTGGTGTCACGTGATCACCTAGCAGATAGAGCTAAAGATATTTAACGAACGCTCAACGAGGTAGTAGATTGCAGATTGCAGAAGTAACACAACAGAAACAATTCACTTAACCTTATTACTTTTAAAAACACTTCAGGGCAACAAAGTTTTTTTGAATGTTTGTTGTTTATATTTTGAAAATTACTAGGGAAGGAATGATTCTGTCTAATATGATCGGTCATTAACTGTGGATCCAGGGCAGTTGTGATCGCATATATTACAGATATATAATTAATATGCTACCTACAGCAAATTCGTCGGTCATTCTGGCGATTCTGGGCAATGAGGATTCTACAAAATTCAGTTTTGTGTTTCGTTTCCAGTTGATCGAGTCTTCAATTTTTCGTCATAAAAGAGATATAATTTCAATAACATGTTGTTGACATTGATTTGTTGACAATTGACAACCGAATAACCGATCAAATCTGAATGATCTGCTCCTCAAGGCGGAGCAAACAGATTACATCTTTCAGCTCGCTCTGACAATTAACGAACACGGAGCAGATTAGACAGAGGAAGTAGATCTGATTTATCGAACGCTTTCCGAGCTAACAGATGGAATCGAGCTAACAGATATGTTATAACCGAACGCACCTTTTGGATAGTTGTGACAAGCTCCATCCATCTTGTCTTTTCTGTGGTGAGGAACATTTAACAAACGAACCTGATAAACCTTTCAAAAACAGACAATGTCCGGAATTTCACAGACAAAGGAGAATAAAAGAGCTTATAGGAGAAAGGAATATATCATTCTTTGAAGCATCAAAATTGGTTCCCAACAGTATCAATAGTGGACATGGAAATAATGTAAATCAGCATAATTTCAATGTGAATAATTTTCCACAGTTACCAAGCACTAGTGCAATCTTGGCGCAAACACAAAATAACCTAACCCCACGTGTTCATACCCCTCAGGGATATAACAAAGCCACAAAAAGTAACAACTACACTATCGTAAAGCAAAAGCAATATAGTAATAACCAAGATAATAGAAATGTCAAAAGAGGATATGGAAGTGAACATAGGGAACTATTAATAAATCCTGATGGCCAAGTCAAAGTTAATCCAACTAGAATTCCAACAATCATTCCACTCCCTGGTCAGGCTTCTGGCTCTGATCCAGTTATGAGCCCAAAAGATTATAAACAGAAAATTAGAGATGAAATCAGTGATATCTACTTCAAACACCCAACAACTTTTCTTGAATTAATTAAGGAATTTATTCCACCACATAGTTCTACATCATCACCGCTTTTTGAATTAATTGAGGAGACTGGAGAATGTCAGAATTAAAATTAATAAATTGGAACATTAGAAGCTATAATGCCAACAAAGCAAACCTATTAGATTTAATAGATAATATTAGACCAGATATTGTGTGTTTATCCGAAATTTGGTTAAAACCAAATTTTAACATGTCAATAAAAGGATTCAAATCAATTTCACATAACAGACAGGATGGAAAGGGAGGGACAGGTATATTGATAAAAGAAACGATTAAATTTGAAAGCATAGACATCGACTTTCAAATTCCAAACAGGGTAAATATAGTGGGAGTAAAAGTAGGGGATACGGATATATTCTCTATATATATTCCTCCGGATATAACAGTTGATGACATTTTTTGGAGAAACTGTATAAGAAATCAAAATTTTATTCTAAGTGGAGATTTCAATTGCCACCACACAAACTGGGGGAATTCAAATAATAATAGAGGGGGAAATATATTGAATAGTTTAGTTGATGACGGATACATGACCATAATTAGTGATTTTCAACCCACTATTATTTCTCTTTATTCCAAAAGTGTTATTGATTTGATTGTAACATCCCCAAATTTATACAATAGAGTAGAAGTTAAAACATTAGAGGACACTTACGGGTCCGACCATTTTCCTATTGAAGCCAGTATCCAATTTAACAATCATGTTAATACTGACATGGACATAGACTTGGATAATGATGAGACAATTTTCAACTATAAAAAAATGGACTGGAACAAGTATTACCAATCTATTGAAATGTCCAGTATTAATTCATACAATGAACTCATAACGGCAATTAATCTTGGAATAACTGTAGCTGCCCCAAAAATTAACATGAACAATAATAGATATACAAATTTAATGAAGCCCCCGTGGTGGGATGAGGAATGTTCAGAAATTGTTAAAAAAAGAAAGGAAAAATTTAAAGCATATAAGGAGTCATCTAATCAAGAAAACTTTATAGAGCTGAAAAAAGAGATAGCTAAATCTAGAAGAATGCTGAAGAAAAAGAAAAAAGAATCTTTTAAGAAATTTACTGAAACTTTATCCAGAGAGAGCAATATATCAACAGTTTGGAATAATATAAAACGGTTTTCTAGGCCATTCTATTTTCAAGGAAATCAGTTTACAGAAAACAGAGATGATGAAAAATTTAATGAACTATTACTTGATAAGTTTTGTCAGCCAGATGTACAGAGGCCACCGGTAAAAATCAACCGGATAGATGATAATATAGGCATACATTATACGTTTACGGAAAAAGAAGTGAGATGCGTTCTGGATAGAGTGAAAGACACTGCACCCGGTAAAGACAGAATTACATATAAGATGATTAGAAATTTGCCAAAAAATGCGTTTACATGGTTGGTATCATTTTATAATGAGATTTGGTTAAATAGTCGGGAAATTCCAGAGGAATGGAAAGATATAGTGTTGATTCCAATCCTGAAACCAGGAAAAGACCCTAATAACCACAATAATTATAGGCCAATCGCCCTATCATCATGTTTGAAAAAAATTTTTGAACATTTAATTAAGTTTAGGCTTGAATGGTGGACCGAACATTATAACATATTACCCGATAATCAATTTGGTTTCAGGAAAGGGATGGGTACAACGGAAGCACTATTCAATTTATATGTAGATATTCAAATCAATAGTATAAAAAAAAACTGCACAGTAGCGGCTTTTCTGGACATTCAATCAGCTTATGACAATGTCATACCTGAGATCCTAGTCCAAAGTCTTAAAGATCTGGGAGTGAATAATAATGTTATTCTCATTATATTCAAGCTAATCAGTGAAAAGAATATATATGTTAGGGATAAGAAACATAAAATATGGGGCCCGAGAAAATCCTATAAAGGATTATTGCAAGGATCAGTGTTGAGTCCTATTCTTTTCAACCTTTATACTGTTACACTATGGGATGCAATTCATCCACATTGCAGTTATATTCAATACGCTGATGATATTACTCTATTCAAGTCCCATAAGTCTCATATAGTTGCAAAACATCATATTGAGAGAGCGATAGGGTCAATGGAAGAATGGCTGGATGTACACGGGTTGAGTATATCAGCCGAAAAATCTAGATGTATGGTTTTTTCAAAGACACATCAGAACCAAATATTAAATATTGAATTTGATAACGCTAATATAGCTCAAGTAGAGCATCATAAAATACTTGGTTTAACCTTTGATAGGAAACTTACGTGGAAAAAACATGTTACGGAAATAATAAATAAGTGTAATAATATTCTGAATATAATTAAATATCTAGTAAGGGTAAGTTGGGGTTCAGATCCAAAAATTATGCTAACACTACATCATACGCTAATTTTATCAAGAATCGAGTATGGGTTGTTAATGTATGGAAACACTAGCAAGAATAATGTAAAATTAATATCTGGTATGCAGCTGAAATCGCTCAGACTGTGTATGGGCATTATGAGATCCTCCCCATCTAATGCAGTATTGGTGGAGACCAATGAGTATCCCATTGATCTGAAACAAAATTATATCACCTTGAATTTTATGTTGAAACATTATGCCATCAGGTCGAGCCCAATTAAAAATAAAATTATAGAATTTGAAGAAGCGGTGTCTAGAACAAATAGGAATAAAATGTCACAGTGGGTACTGACATTAGCTATCCGGGAATTCAAATTACCCCCGTTTAACCAGATAAGGGCGATAAATAGGAATTCTCTTTACGAACTTCCTGTAGGCAGTTATTACGAGAAATATGATATCTTGGAAGACATTGGCATAGAGAAAAAGGAAGAAGTCTGTAGAAGTATACGAACAAAATTTATTCTTATAACTAACGAAAGATGGCCAAATTATAAACATATATATACTGATGGGTCTAAGACAGTGGACAAAGTTTCTTTTGGGATATATATCCCCCATAAAGATTTTTCAAAGGGGGGGATTATCCACACAAAATCTTCAATCTTGACTGCTGAATTGACAGCAATCTATTTTGCACTCATCTATATAGCTGAAGAGCCAGATAACTATATTATTTTTTCAGACTCCAAAAGTTCTATAATGGGACTGCAAAACAATCATATAAAAATAAATAATAACAACTTATTCTTGAAAATCAAACAATTATGGTCAGAACATCTTAAAAACGGTTTTTTAATCAAGTTAGCATGGATCCCTGGGCACAGGAATATAGAGGGTAATGAAAAAGCAGATCAGATCGCAAAAAACGCAAATATTCCATATAGAATCAACCAAGTATTAAACATAGATCTGATTCCTCATATCAAAGAAAGTACTAAAAATAAATTTCAACATTTTTGGGACATCTCTTCAATGAATAAAGGTAGAAGGTATAGAGAGATACAACCGAAAATTCAAGAAAAACCATGGTTCAAGGAATGTCAAATGTTTTCCCGCAGGTCATTCACAGCCATTGTAAGATTAAGAATAGGTCACTGTTCTTTGCCTTTTCATCTTAATAAGATTAAAATTCAGGATTCTAACTTATGTGAATGTGGGAAATTTGGGGATATCAACCACTTCCTATTAGAATGTGAAAATAATAAGCACAATATTGACAGATTATATAATGATATCCTCAAATTGGGATTAAATCCTCCTATATCATATCAAATGATTCTAGGTAATCTCAATTCAGAGTATGAAAAAATCAAAATATTGGCCAAGTTTATTGAGAAAAGCCAGCAAGATATATAATGTCTTCTAACTCTTTATCTAATCATGAGAAATATCCACAATTATTTTAATTAATATGTATTTGTATGTGTTGTAGATAAATTGTTGGGATACATAGTTAATATTCCATTAATGTACATAACATTTACTCATACTAATGGGAACTAACAAACAACCCTACCCATAAATCCAAAAATCCCAAGTATAAATATCAGCACCTGGAAACTAGAGTCATTGGACTCTACTGGAAACAAACCCACCTGATCTGGTGAAATTGACACCGCAAGGAGTCAGAAAACCAAGAAATACAAAATAAGAAGAAGAAGAAGATACAGTAGTAGTAAACACTAGAAGGTAAACAGAACACCCAAAGTAAAACAGAAAAGAAAATAAAAATAGTATTTTTAGTGAAATTGATCAGATATTAAATAGAGATGAAGTAGGACCAAGTTGCCATTCAAAACCCATTGGTTTAGTGAAGGTTGAAACAAACTAATACCCGTTGATGAAAGCTGATTTAAGATGATGAATATTCTGCTGAAACAATTACAAATTCTACATGAACAAGAACTATATTCTAACATCCTGAAAGTGGTGAGTGTCCTTAGCGTGAAGTTATCCAGGAAATTACCAGCCACGTTTTCTGACGTGTAGGAAATCTAATGGAATTGAAAATGTGTGGCTGGCATTTATCCCTCTTCAATGGTTTTGGGAAGTGCTTGATATTCATTTTCATTGCACATTGAAAGTCTGATATTCATTATTAATTGTATCAAATAGTGTTATTATAAATGTTCCTAAACTACTTATTCCTGAACAATTTTTTCACAAGGCTTTCAACAAACACTGATAAGACTGGAAAATGAAAAAAACATGAATTCATACCACATAGGCCGAATTAAATTTATTTAATTTATTGCGTTTCACCTGTATCTCACCTGAATTCTCCTGTTTCTTGATGATTCTGTCACAGAAAAATCTAGTTATAGGTACTACAAGAACTTGGAAAAATTATTTCAGAATTTGTACCACCATAGGGAAAAGAGGGTGAGTTAAATTTATATAGTATCTCAACTGAAACTTTCAGTTTGTTGATGATTTTTCCACAAGAATATCTAGGAGTACATTTTTTTATTTAAGTAGGTATATGTCTTCTCTTTCCACACATATGTAATTGATTATACATATTTATTAACATGTAGATTATAAGTAATTTTTGTTGGCATGGAAGAACTTAGGGGGGACAGGGTGAGTTAAATTTATATAATTTGATACATTTTCACCTGTATCTCATCTGAAACTTTCTGTTCCTTGAGATTCTTCCACAGAAATATCTAGTTATACTGCAAAAAAATGAAAAAAAATATTTTGGAATTTTTACCACCCTAGGGGGAACAAGATAAATTGAATTTATTAAATTTACTTGGCCTAATTATATTCTGATGAAGAATTTTTTGAATTTGTTAATTGACTTTGGCTTTGTGAATGAAAGGACTATAACTTTTTGCATGGACTGGGTCATGAGTATTGATTTTATGCTTGATTTGATTCTTGAATTTTAGAGATTTGTCATTTGAATAAAATATGTATGATGCATACACAATATGTACCCAATTGGGGTAAAACCTGTTTGTTGGAATAAATAAATAAAATATTTTCAGCATAGGGAAAGAATACTAGATTTTTCTTCATCTGTCAAATTGTCTGTTCCATGGACGTATAAAAAAGATATACGTCCATGGTCTGTTCTCTACATCATAAGAGTTTTGTCCATTGTCATAATCTTGTATCGTCATGTGATAAAATTCAAAGTTGTTATTTACTGAAATAGTCTTAATAGGATATAAGTTAAAATTTGTATAATCAGCAGAATTATTATAGATTTCTATGATGGCCCTGCCTTACACAGAAACAGATAAGGTCTCTTGTATGAGGCCTAAGGCAGTTTTCTATTACTTGTCCCCCTTCCTTACTCACTGGGATTTTAATTTGGTTTAGTCTATGTCCGGGCAAATATTTGTCTATGAAAATCTTTGGGTTGGCGTTGAAATACTGGATCATGATACATGCATTTGAAGTTATGAATATCATGTTTGAAAAATCTAACTGTGCATTCAGAGCATGTATCAAGTCGATTCCCAGGAGTATATGGAGAACATTATGAAATATGAGATTTATGTTTTCATTAAGTCATTGAAAACTTTTATTGTATTGATGTATGATGCTTTGAGGAAGCAAAAGATGTTGATTCAACAAAGGGGTCATAATTTTTTAATTTTGAAAAATACGTATTAAGAATTTTTGGGTCTAAAAATGATTTGGTTGCTCCTGTATCAATCAAAAGTTGTGGATTATTGATGGTTATATAGATATAGACTCGGATATAGAGCTCATTTCAAGTTTAACGTCATGGCCGCCATTTGGCGATACGTCGAATAAATGGTGACGTCAGTTTTTATGCTGTTTCGTTATTGGTCAGATAATCTTCCATTTCCCCTCATGAAGCAAAGTTGTTGAGTCACCAATTATAATCAAGTTGTCAAAAAGATGTTTGAGTCCTGTCGTTGAATAAAACATAATAAGATGATCTCATGACATTATAGTTCATTCTTCACTTTTTAGAACAATCAGCATGTCCAGATATTTCTTATTCTACATAACAAAATATCTTGGCAACATTGTGCTGACTGCTGAGAACTGACAAGACCACGCCCACAAGTCGTGCGCGAGGTTGTCACGTTCACCGATTCAAGTGTCATCTAGTATGAATTAATATAATTATTATTCACACAAATCATAATTCCGAATTGTATTTCAACACATGGCAACTGTGCTATGGTCTGCCTCTACTTACGAAATCGTGGCGTCAGTTTTTACTAGCGGTAAATTTCGGGCCGTTTGAAAATTATGGTGGCATTATTGATGATTTCGCACTTGAAAATCGACCAAAAATTTCTTAAAATATATGAAAATGAAAAGGTATTTGAGTGATGATTCTATTTAAGAAATAAAATAAAAAATTGGTCAACTCGCCTATTGTCTCTACTAGAGTCTAGCCATAGCACCAGTGCGAGAATATTGCGCCTGGTACGCAGGTCGCTGGGCGCGAGAAACAGAAAATTTCGTTGCTTGCTCGCTCGCTCGCCGAGCGCGAGAAGCGAGGCGAGAAGGGTTAGTTATTTACCTGTCACCTTAACCACTGGGCTACAGACCTTTTTAATGAATGATATGAATGGGAAGATCTCAACACTTAGTGGCATACAACCATTATAATAATGGGTTTGGTAAGGGGAACACTTTGTATATCAATACATGAATAATAACATCAATTTCATAATTTGATACGATTCTGTATATTCTCAGAATATTCGAAAAGAATATTCTTGTGTATCTATGTCAAATTGAATGTTCATAGAATATTCGTTGCAGGATGAAAATAATTTATGATCATTTTAAGGACATTATGTTAGAATATTCTGAAATAAGTATATTTGAACATTGTCATTCTAGAATATTCCATTTCAGAAGCTCATTGGAACATATTTTCAGAATATCATTAGTATATTCGCAAAGTATTCCATGAATGTTCACAATATTCTGAAAATATTATTTAATGAACATTCTGGAATATTATATCCCAGGAGCTTCTAGGAATGTAATTTCATGTAATACTATCAGAATATTCGCATGGAACATTCCATAAATATTCGCAACATACTGAGAACTTTCTATGCATATTCTTCAGAATATTATTCTAGAAGATGACATTTTCGCAGCTTGTAAGAATATTCTGAGAATATTCGTGCTATCTGGGGATATATATATGTAATAATTATGAACAGTGTGTTAATTCAATTTGAATAAATTGATTTGAGGTGTGTCACGATTCTAGGAATCACCCTGTAACATGGTATCAACTAGGAAAGCAGTTGTCTAATGTATCATTTCACAACAATGACTTATTTGTTTTTGTTTCACTGCAATTTCTCGCGCCCAGCGAGCAGCGAGCGACGCGCAATATCATTTCACAATGACTTTTTATTTTTGTTTCGCTGCAATTTCTCGCGCCCAGCGACCTGCGCACCAGGCGCAATATTCTCGCACTGGTGCTATGGCTAGACTCTAGTATTGTCTCTTATCAAAGGAAGTATTGAACTCGATTACGCCTCTTTTTGATGAGGGTCTGTCGACTGAAAATCCTGATGATCATCGTATTCTGTATTATCTGCATATTCGTCAGAATATTCAGCATATTCGGGTTCGACCTCTTGTGAACTCCGTGTTATTCATTTCCATAGGAGCATATGATTGCCTAGTATTTCAAGTAAACTGCTTGGTACTAAACTACTTACCAGATGAAGTGGGACATCTAATTTTGATAAGCTATAACTCGAACATTTCTTGGCCGATATTGGATTTTCAACCAAAGGTAGAAAGCGTCATCCTTGGGCTATGCATCATTGCCGTCGGGTTTTTATTTTTGCGATTCGTTCTCTTTGTACAGAGTGTGAATTAAGAGCCAGAAAAATTTCAAATGACCAATAATTTGGGAAATGTGAGGGACCCTAGAATTCTTTTTCAGATGTTGGGTGAATGGTTGGACCGACACCTCGAGATGTCTTTGAAATTTTTTGAATAAATTGCGTTGCTATGGAAAAGTCGCCATTTTATGAAATTTTCTTTTTATTTTAAAATGTGACCTCTTTTGGTTGAACTATAACAGCCAACATCTGAACTGGAGGAAGGGATATTTCTACTGAAGATAATTAACACCAGTGGCGCGCAGAAAGGGGTTTATGATATTTAGAAACGAAAAATTGGTTTTTATTGAAAAAATTCAACAGTTTTATTGATCGTTACAGTTGAAGAGGTGTCATATCCCTAATTAGCATGTTGTTGACAAATTCAGAGGCGCGCAAAAAAAGGGTTCATAATATTTAGAAACGACAAAAACGTTCTTATTGAAAAAAATCAACAGTTTTATTGATCGTTACAGTTAAAAAGTTGCCATACATTCAATTAGCATGATGTTGACAAATTCAGAGGCGTGCAAAATTGGAAAATCAGAATTTGAGTCTCATTATGATTGTTTCTTTACTTATCCAAGGTGAGCTTCCAAGTTATCCATTGACGTATTAAAGAGGATCAATCATCAAGCCGATTCGCAAAGTTTGATATGGAAACATTTTTAATAATTTTATCAAGTTCCCCAGTGAAAATGTTCTTGTATCTTTATTCATGAATGAAAATTCAGAAACGTAATTCTGGCTCTTGATGTTTTTCGAGCCGTACAATTTTATAATTTTGTCAGGAAAAATGTAGAAAAATCTTGCTGGTTTTTTCAATAAAAACGTCTTTGTCGTTTTCTAAATTTATCATTAACTCATTTTTGCGCACCTCTGAGTTTGTCAACATCATGCTAATTAAGGATATGACACCTCTTCAACTGTAACGATCAATGAAACTGTTGAAGTTTTTCAATAACAACGAATTTTTTGTTTCTGAATATCATAAACCCCTTTTTTGCGCGGCACTGGTGTTAATTATCTTCAGTATAAATATCCCTTATTGCAGTTCAGATGTTGGATGTTATTGTTTATCAAAAAGATGCCACATTTAAAATTAAAAATGAAATTTCATAAAATGGCGATTTTTCCATAGCAACGCAATTTATCAAAAAATTTTCAAAGACGTCTCGAGGTATCGGACCAATCATTCACCCAACATCTAAAAAAGAATTCTAGGGTCCCTCACATTTCTCAAATTATTGGTCAAACATTTGAAATTTTTCCGGCTCTTAATTCACACTCTGTACAAAGAGAGCGAATCGCAAAAATAAGAACACGACGCCAATGACGCATAGCCGAAGGATGACGCTTTCTACCTTTGGTCGAAAATCCAACATCTGCCAAGCAATGTTCGAGTTATAGCTTATCAAAATTGGTCAATTTTTTGGCTGTCCCACTTCATCTGGTAAGTAGTTTAGTTGACATTGGAGTCGCTTTCTATTGATTCGGATTTTGATGGTTATTAGGATTTGGTTTCAAAATATTCTTTGTTTTTCCAAAAACTATTAGAGAAAGAAAGTTTGGTGCATTTGATTGTAGTTTAGTCTCGAGTTTAGTGCATTCGATGGACCTGCTTGAGCAAAATTTCAATTATGTTGCCTGAATGGTTGTTGTCGAAATTGGTTTGTGTTTGCGAATGTGTTGGAATTTGTGTTTGGAAATTTGTTTGGATGTTTCTTGTACTGAATTTTAATTAATTATTAGAACCGGGGTTTTGTAAGTATCTGATATTTTCTTTTTTACGAATGAAATTTATGGCGTCTAGCATAGTTTTTGGTTATGTGGTACTGACCATTATTTCGATAGATTTTCTCAGTCCGGCTAAAAATACTCCGAGGACCTGTTGGTTGTACATATTTTGTTTGAATTTACGAACATTTAACATAATTTCCACATGGATTGATAGATAGTTATAAATTGTATTACGAACTTTTCTCACTCTGTCATGAAATTGATAAGTAGATTCATTTCGAATTTGTCTGAGATTATTCAAATCTTGGGTCACTAAAATTACTTGCATACTTGCACAGGTAATATTAACGACATCTCAAGCAGAACCTCTCAGTTTTAATAATGATTGAAAAATAATCACATGTTGGTTATTATTCGCATTCTGATAATTGTAAAAGTGCTTTACTATACTATCAACATTTTCAAGGAAAAAGTTTAGTTCGTTTACATCACCGTCGAAATCCGAGATGGTTTCAGCATGAACTTTGGAAAATGTTGGAACTGACATTGTTTCTGTATTAATTATATTTGATGAAGCAATATCAACAGGAGTTTTTTCATCTATAATTGAAATATAACTGAGATTATTTGTTATATGAAATGATAAATTCACTTTCAGTACGATCTCTCTGTGTCTTGAAGTGCTGCTTTTCTTGCAGAGGGTTCTTCTTCTTCGGACTAGCTCGTCCGCCAGGATACGCCTTCGGAATTTTCTTCTGTTTTCAGTTTCACTGCGATTTCACCGACGAGATCCGAATTTCGAATTGCTGCTTTGGACCTATTGAAATAAAAAAGGTACCCGCACAGAATCCTGTGCAAAAATCCTACCGACTGCGCCAATTTTATAATTCCGTTCATAATTCCGGATAAAAAATATGTTTTATTGAACTATTTGTTACAAGCAGAGTCAAGACTGAATATAAAACTAATTCTGATAAAAATGTAAATAATGCAAAATTGTCAGAAAGCATAAAAATCTTGAGAACGCTGACTCGGCTTCTCCTGGTCTTCTGTCGATTCCTATTTCTCAAGGAATACTGTGGAATTGGTGATGTAACTTGCGTCAGATTCTGTTTTTGAATCAAATGTTGGTTTTTATAATAGGAGGCTCAAGGGTAAAGTAATTTTCGATATATCTATTATGGGACTTAAGGTTATAATGAAATCTGTCGTACATGGAGCGTTGATGAAAATACTCGCACTTATCGAAGAAAAAATATCTACACAAACGCGAGATTATTCTGCCCAAGGAAAAGTGCCGCCAGATATTCCACCCGTTGAGAGTCGAATGCCCGAAATCGTCTTCCGTCAACGCCGAGGTCAACGCACTATCCGACGAATTTTGCTTGGTCTCAAAACGAATAAGGCTAACGGTCCTGATGGAATTCCACCCATTATCCTCAAAAAATGTGCACCAGAACTAACACCGATTCTCTGCAAGTTGTTTACCGTCTCGTACAGATCAGGTGTTTTTCCATCATGCTGGAAGACAGCTAGAGTCCAACCAATCCCCAAAAAAGGGAACAAGAACCTGCCCAACAACTACAGACCCATTTCCCTGTTATCATTATTATTTGACACTTTTTTGAATGTCATAATGACGTTAATTACCGCACTAGTGCTTTTATGAATCTATTGCCGCACTAGTGCGGTAATGAGATAAGAAATAAAGGTCAACCAAATTAAATCGTTTATTGAATGAATACAAAGAAAATTCAAATAACACTTGTCGCCGCATTTTCAATATCGGATGGTAGATCATCTTCAGTCAAAGACATTTTCACTCAAGAAACTTAATGATGGTTCTGGATATCGATCTGACAATTTAATTTAACATCAATAAACTGCTTTGTTTATATCTACCGTTGCTACGGTTACGAAAATGATCTTGTGCTTTCAATGATCAGTAAACTGTCATGGGTAGATAGGTACGTCGTACGTGGAATATCAATGAGGTAGAGATTGTTATGAAAACGTTGACAGTTGTAGATAAAATTTTGTATGCAACGCGTGGGATAGTACATTATTAACGCACTCATGTGATTACACGGCTCAGTCTATGGCTTCGTCGTGCAATCCTCACGTGCGTGCGTTAATAATGTCTATATCCCACGATTCACGTAAATAACTATGATACTACACAACTCGCCCCATATTCGTCACATTCTTGCTCCTTTCCTCATGTAATTCAAAATATGTAAACATCCAATAAAGACTTCAATAAATTCAGCATAATTGCTAATATTATTTTTCTATTTTTTTTTTTCAGTGTGATTTGGCTCTGTCCATAGGAGAACAAAAACTTGACACATATACCTTACCAACAAAGTTACAAGTTACCCTCTACTATGCAGACGCATTGTATCATACACAGCAATATCTTCAAGCGGAGAACTTATATCGACAGGGTTTACAAATTAGGAAGAACATACTGTCAAAAGTTAAAAATTCAAACAAAATAGCCGAAGTTCAGAATGAAATAGCCAGCGATGTTGATATCAAATTCAAAATACATATGTGCTGTATAGCCCTGAAACAAAAGTCAGCCGCCGTAGAAATTCTGCAAATGGTGTCTGCTAGACTGCGGACTCCGAAGATCAATATGGCTCTTGGGAATATTTATAAAGATGTGGGAATGGAACGTTCTGCAATAACTTGTTTCAAGGAAGTTCTCAGGGAGTGCCCTCTGGCTTTAGAAGCAGTGGATAATTTATTGAAGTTAGGAATCAAGGTAGGTAGTCATGTTATTACAGTACAGTCGTCAAGATACGGGAAAAAATATTGATATACGTACAAATAATAATTATATATAGAAAACGTACAAGCAAGGATGTGAAAGAAAATAGAGAAAATAAGAAAAAAATAATAATGAAAAATATTCAGAGTGGTCCGTTTAACTTGAGACAGGCATATACCGGGTTCACTACACTGTTTTACCACTAACCAAAAAGAACTTTTAATTGAAAATAAACACATTCAATCTGAAACAATGATTCAATCCGAATTCAATAAGGACTAACATATTTTGATTGTCCACCAGACTACTTTTTCGATGTCAAATTGAGCAATGATCTTGTCTACAGGAAATGCCAAAAGAATTCTGATTGATACTGGAGCATACGCATATTGGTAGTCTATGCCTGATAAGTTGATGAATTTTTTATTCATGCAAACATTGTATCTTGGAAGATATTTTGGAACGATATTTCTAGGATGCTCCCTAAAATTCTACAGCATAATTATATTGGTTCATTGGTTCATGATCGTTTCCATGTATGAATCGCGACTAAAATTGTAGTTGAAACTGTAGGTTAAACCGACTTCAAAATTTGGAACTCAAATTTTCAGTCAGTTGTAACACTAGTTATATATGGATATTTCATTTTAGGGAGTAGAAGTAAACTCTTTAATGGTGGAAGTTTCTTCAGAGATATCTTGGCTGAATTCCTGGATAAAAGCACAAGCTCAGATGCATTCCAGAGATTTCGTGAATGCCATCAAAACCTACAAGAGCATGGATACCCATGGGCTTTTGAAAGATAACACATCTTTACTAGTAAACATGGCTTATTGTTATCATTATCTGTGCAATGAACAAAAGGCTATATCAATTCTACAAAAGGTATGTACGAGGTGATATATATATACACTCACAAAATCAGTTGGACAAGTGATCACGGAGATAAGTTATCACACAAGATAGAAAAGTCTTTATGGCGTTTTTGGATATACATTTAGTCACGAGCTCTGTTTCAATTCATACACTAATTTAGAGATGGTGAATAATTCGTATTTTTCGTCGCAGTAAAAGGTTAAAGACTACTCTAGCTGTTATTCATGAAAATATTCATTCAGTAGTTCCATTTTGATTTAATTGGTTCTGTAATTTAATATAAAATGAATGGAAAAAATTGATTATAATATTTGGGAAGCTCCAGTTTGTATGTCCAAAATCTAAAGACTTTTGTATAAATATAATTCACTTCGAACTTTCTTCTAGACTATAGAAGTTGGTTTTTAGCTTCTCTTGCATCCCTTCTATTCCTAAATATTTTTTGTTTGCATATCAATAGCTTTCTGATTACTCTTGTAGCTTGTTGAATATCAGGTATGACAAATCATAACGAATCACAGTGCTTGAATTAGAAATTATAGCAGACTTTCTTTGATGAAAGTATTGGCCACCAGAGCGCGCTACTGAGACGTGAGGTATACCGTTCCATATTGATGTGGAAAACGCCCGTGAAATTTTGTATTAAAGGAAGGTGTACCATCACGTTAGTTTTTGTATTCTTGGTAGGGCGGTACCTACCAATTCACTTTATGTGATATAACTAGTATAGTATATTAAAGTTTAAGTGGATATTATGGTCTCCAAAACACGCGCGAAATAGAGCAAGTGTTGAAACACCAGTTATCCAGGAATAATTTCCGTTATTTTTTCATTGGTACACTTTGAGATCATAAATACTAGTAGTATAATTACAATAAATGGAAATAACAACTAATGATGTAAAATGGATGAATTTGTTATGTGACATCAGTATACGTTGTCATTCAAATGAGAAAAAAATAATTGGTTTGAAACATTTGTTAGTGATATTCTATTTGACATTACATGGTACTTCTATCAGATCAATAACTTTAAAAAACGCGCGTTTTGCAAGTTGGATTCAAACACACTGAAGCGCCTTTCAAATGGGCAAAATAGGGAACCAATAACAATAAAAAACTTCTTTCAAGGCGATTCGTTTGGATCCATTCCTCTCAATTGGCAGAGACTTACTGTCGACCTTATTAGCAGCGTCAGGCACCAAAGACCATATCAAAGCATTGGAAAGCTTGACTCCCGTAATGGACATGTCTATGTGGACCAGCGAGCAATGGGTGGTTCTAGGTAACTACATGTATGCCCTCAAGAAATACGACAAGGCTGCCTATTTCGGACAGCAAGCTTGCTTGTTGGACCGCAAGAATGTCGAGGGCCTTCTTCTCAAGGCCAATACCCTGTACCAAATTAAGAAGTATCAGGATGCTGTAAGCCATTGCTCTGAAGCACTGCAGATATGTAATTACAGGTAGGTACTGTAGTATGTGATTATAATGATCATACGTCGTTGTCGTGGTTATGCAAAGCTAACAAGTTGATATTTTTATTTTCAGGTACGATATTCACAAATGTTTAGTAGACTGTTATATCCAAACAAATAGACTGAGAGAGGCCGAATCGATGGCATTGAATGCTTGCAAACAGCTTAACTTCAGTGCACATGGATATTGTGTAAGTAACATAATGATACTGTCTGTATAACATACAGGCTGATTCACGGTGGATGGCACATTAGACGTTTCAAGAGAACGCAACTCAGGATTATTTGAAAAGTTGGTGCCTCGAATAATTCGTTGTGTTCAATCGACCTAAAATATTCTCAGCGTTGCGACATTGCCTCTTATATTGAAAAGTAGCAACAACTTTGATTTTTCAAATGGGACTTCCTGTATTATTATTCCATTTTCAGATTCTCCCTGAAGAGCTGATCTCATTGACCTATAACACTTGGGGTCTAGCAGTAATAATTACAGAGTTATAGAATGTGAAAAATCGAGATTTTTCAACTTTATGAATTTTTTGTGTCGAAACTATTCATAATCGATCAAAACGATTTTCATGTCCCTATCCCAACATTTCATTCACTATCAATTGATATATGATTGAAATAAATACAGGGTGGTTCAGAATTGAGATTTTTGACCACCCTGTATCTATTTCAATTAAATATCAATTGATAGTACGTGAAAAGTTAAGATAGGGGCATGAAAACCGTTTTGACCAATTATGAGTAGTTTCGACACAAACAATTCTTAAAATTGAAAAATCTCGATTTTTCACACCCTATATCTTTGTTATCATTCCCGGTAGACCCCAAGTGTGATAGATCTTAAAATAAGCCCTTCAGGGAGAATCTGAAAACGGAATGATATACAGGGTATCCCATTAAAATAATTAAAGTTGTTGCTACTCATCAATATAAGTTGCAACTTTGTAACGCTAATTATTCAAGGCACTAACTTTTCAGAATAATCCTGAGTTGTCCAGAAACGTCTAATGTGCCATCCACCGTGAATCAGCGTTTATATAAATAATATTGGGAAATAACTTGCCTAAGTTAAATCCCTTCTACTGTGTCAGCTTTCCTATGTAAAAAACGTTGTTGTCATAAGTAATATCACGATGGCCTGAATATTCCAGATAATTCTGTTGCTTCATTGTTCACGAAATTGTGTTGACAATGAAAGGCAGAATTATGAGAAGATATTCAGAACAGAGTGGTATTTTGCTAGACTATTTCACGTTCACGAAGCAATTCATGAATTAATTCGTGACAACCCTTGATGGAACTAAGATCACATTTTTCCTTAACTGGGGGAATGCCATAGTAATCACTCCTCATGAATTTTCATTTCAGTCGTCTTATCAAAATTACCTTCTAGTTCATTTTAAATATGCCCAACTCATCCTACTTAAATGTAAAATGGGAATGTAAGTCAAGAACCATTTTTCATAAACAATTATCACATTCATTCAGTCCACTTGTATGTAAATGTAATGTTTATGAAGCACAAACTTCATTCTTAGAAAGTGAAATTTACAGTGTTCAAACCACCACTTTTTGTGTTGTCTGGAAGTAAAACTGATTAAGCTGTTTCAAATAGACTTAAAAAACAGATAAGGAGACTTCTTGATATTTTTGTGTCCTGAAAAGCATTCTCCTGTATATCTTGAGCTACATAGCTTACCCACACTCGATGGGAATCCCTTATTAGTGCAATGACGATTACTGATTACTGGGACATCCGTCCTATCTGAATCATAAATTCCATAATTTTGAAATACGAACCTATTTTAGTTACACGCCTCCGTATTGCTGAAAGATCCAATGGCCTCGAGCAAGACTGTCCGCCGTACGTTAGAAAAAGCAGTATCTCTGGATAAAACTGGCTCCACAGACGCCCTGCATATGTTAGTCGAATTCCTGGAAGGGGAGCAGCAGTACGAACAAGCATCCCAACTGTTATTGAAACATATAAGTACACAAAAACCATCTTCCAGACTACATCAGATGCTGGGAGATTGCTTCGTTAACCTACAAAAAGACGACGAGGCTTTCCATCATTACACTGTAGCACTCAAACTCGATCCAGCCAATCAAAGGGCCAATGAAGGTTTGAATAATATTGGCAGGAGTTTGTCGCTCAGTAAGAGGGATAGTTATTATACCTGCGTTGCCGGAGAGACTTCTTACATTTCTCAAGGGACCAATTCGTCAGATCATGAAGTTGATCCGGAAAGTGATACTGATCCTTGGCCCGCTAATGGTGATATTGAAAGCTTCGAATAATTGTTTTAGATTTTATGTTCTCTGTGACTTGATGTGATTGATGAAATATAGTTTTTTTTTTTCATATATCATCGATGATTCTGTTCATTGTGTAGGTAGGTCCTGATAACTGCTTAGTGCTCATTACTGTGCACAGCATGTTCATTAACTATGTCTCAGTAGAGGAGGTATTACATATAATCAAAAATAAACTGAAGAATAAACACTCTGCAGGAAACGACATCTTCGCAAATCTAATGAAGATTTTCATGCAAAGATAGCGGAACCTTTGACACATCTAATCGATGTATCATTTTCAGAAGGTGCCTTTCCTACTTGATTGAAAACATCTCTAGAATCACGTATATACAAAAAAGGCAACAAACTTGACATGACAAATTATTGACCTGTCCTCCCATCATTTCAAAAATGCTATGCTGGCACAGTTGTGGAAGTTCCTTGATGTCAATAATATTATTAGCAAAAATCAGCACGGATTTTGCTCAGGCTATTCAACAAACACTGCAATTCATTCATTTTACATAGAAGTGCTGAAAGCAACCGAAGGTGGGGACAGCCCCATTGAAATATTTTGTGACCTCAGTGGAGCCTCTGATTTTGTTCAGCATAATATTGTCAAGAAGTTTAAATGCCCAGGAATTAACGCCACTCAAACTCCCGTTCGTTTCAGATATTTTATCATTAATTAACTTTTCCAAATTAAAACATTCAGTACATTGCAGTTCGATCAGGCCAGCGGAGTTCATAGACATCATTTCCTTTATAATTTGCAAAGAAATCGCTTACCGCGGCGATAATACCTAGGTAAGCGGTATCGAAAGCTAACGACCGTTCCCAGTGTCGAAAATTGCGAACCTAGCATCGATTCCGAATATAATGAGGACCCGAATCGATGAGGCATTATTCATAATTCATTATCAACACAAGGCATTATTAGTTCAATCATGATTCATTATCGACACAAGTCATTCTAGTGATCATCAAATGAAAATGTTCGCCATCTCCCCAACTTCAAGCCTGCTGGTCAACCCCCTGCTGGACGTTATAATGTAAGTGCTGTTTTTTTTGTGTTGTTTTGCGTTGTTCCTTTTTTTTCTTTCGTTAACCTGCCATGTGGCAGCATTTATTCATGAATCTTTTCATTTAATTAATAAATGTTACTTTTATATGAAAACTGTCCGGTCTCTTTATTTGGGGGTGAATAGGGTTGGATGGTGAAATGATCAAAACCCTCTCGTCGAAAAGCCAAGCGAGTAGCTAATTCACGACCTATAGGGGGGTCAAACATCTGAGTTGCGACAATATATTGTTGGATAAATTATACATAATTGGTATAAGAGGAATACCATAAAAGAGGTTGGAATCATAGTTAACAGACAGAAATCAAATTGTGAAAATCTATCACCATAATGATGGAAATACAAAAAACATAATATGTCATCACCTTTAAATGACAATATTGGGGTTCCGCAAGAATCAGTGATGTGACCAGTACTTTTCATTATTTACATCAACGAGGTGCCAGATCTTCTCAAGGAGACATTTGTCACACTATGCAGATGACTCAACCTTTCTATTCAATAGTGATATTCTTTCATTCTGAACTAACTGACACATTTCACTTGAACTGAATCAGTTGACATGCATTGTAAACAATGAACGTCATTTGAAAGAACGATTCAGTTCAGTTCTAGTTGAATATTTCAGTTAGTTCAGATTGATAAAATATTACTAATGATAAAACAGATGAAGGTCTCAAAGATAAAATTTTCACAACTGTTAATCATGTTTGTAACCGGTTTTGTAGAAATTCTTTATATTTTAATGCTTCTAAAACAAGTTACATCGGCTTCCATACAAAACAGAATACCAAACAAACCAATATTAAAATTTCAATTCGAGAAGATAGGAAATAAAAAGAGAAGGGTATCTGGGTATCCTAGATTTTAAATCTCACTGTACTGACCTGGCAAGCTTTTTGAATAAAAAATGCTATCAAATCAGAACTTTGAAAACTGTGTTGAACACAGAGAACCTTTTTTCACTTTATAATTTTTATGGAGAAGTGCAGTCTAGACTCATTTATGGTATGGCACTTCATATTCACAAAATGTATTCAAAGTGAAAACACGAATTATCAGATGCATTGATGGAGCGTCAACGACAGTCATGTAGACATTCTTGAAATACTAGCTTATGTGCAGAAGCACGAAATTGAATTCATCAAAAATAAAGGTGGTCCTTATTACCACACTCCTAATAAAAGTAAATTGCATATCCCATTTGCTCGTTTAAACCTAACAAAGAGGGCTGCAGGCATCTTAGGGCTTGGGTTGTATAATATTCTACCAGAGGATCTCAGGAAGTCAGAAAATGAAAAACTGTTCAAGATACAACTTAAAATGTTTATTTTAGAAGTGTCCATATTCTGTGGACGAATTTATGTTATCTGTTTAATGGCTATGTTTGTTCCTATTGTTCATTTTCATTCATTTCATTTTCCACACAATATAGTCAAGAAACTTTGTTAACCTTTCCGAAGTGAAATGCAATAAATCTTTGATAGTTTGGCGAACTGGAAATGGTAATGTTTGTGAAACTATAGATCTCTCTAGATCTTGAGAAAAAATTTTTTTACTACTCAGTATTATCAGACATTTTCACATCGAGGAACTTCATCAGCATCTTGCAAAACTTCTGAAACAGTTATCGTGATTATATTATTATGCTTCAAGAACATGTTTTCAGAAGTTCTTCGGTGTTTATTATACGGCATTTATCATGCACAAAATGTATTATTTGTACAAGAGATTATAATTATTTTTCAAATTCAATTATTAGGAAATTAGTGCATACTCCAATTGAATTCTGAAAAACAAGATGTTTCAAGGTATATCCTCCGAGGAATTATGTATTTCTTATGATTACATTTCAATTGTTTGATAATGATAAAAACTCTCGAAATCCATGCTTGAAACTAATTAATTTTGTCAGTATGAATTCTTTAAAACTCAAAAAATAATTGATTTCTTGTTAAATAAACATCTTGTACTACCGAACTACCGAAGAACTCCTGAAAAGATTTTCTAGAAGCATCTGAATGTAATTATGATAATCCAATATCATTTGAATGATTGTTGAAATTAGATTAGCGGTTGTCGAGAGTTCATAAGGTAACTGAGGGATGGGTTCGAGCCCCAGTTAGGCCATGGATGTTTGTGACTGTTTGCTTCTCACAAGTTTTGACTTATGGGGCGTTGGTGTCAGTGATGGGAACAATGAGGGATTGCAATTAGAAAAAAAAAAGATAATTCCTAATGGAAAACGCCTTGTATATGACATCATCGAAAAAATTTTAAGTATGTGTTTCAGTGGTTTCTCAACATGTTTTATACTAAAAAAATGCCTGATACTACGTATTACATTTTCATTTATAAATTACTTCGGTCTCGAATTAATCAATTGATTTAATGACCATAATTTTTTATTTCATTTACCTTACAACAAGTTATACCTCCTAAGGTAAATCGTTTATTCAATATCAATATGTATACTTTTAATTTATATTATGTCAACATTTTGAATGAACTTTATTATTATTATTGCTATGATTAATTGCATTTTAAATCGATCATATAGTTGTCCATATATAATATTGCAATGAGAGAATTGACAGGAAAGTAGATCTACAACTTGAGTGAAAAAAAAAATTGAAATCGGTCAACGAATAAGAAAATACAGGTGATGCTGCTCAAATTGATTGATTGTCTTTATTACCCCAAGAAACATTATTGTTTATAATAGGGATATATACAACAAAACATACATATAAAACATAATAAATCAAAACAATAATAACTGCACAATTATTGTTTCTCCTAAAAAAAATTATTATAAAATATAAAATGAAAATATTAAAATCTATTACAAGTAATCAAATTGTGAATGATAAGTACTATTAGTAGATATGGAATTAAAGTTTACTGAGCAGATATTTCTTCAATTTCATTTCAAATTTTTCTGCTTCTTCTATATTTTTCAACTCATTAGGTAAGGAGTTATACAAAATTATTCCATTATAGAATATTGATTGTTTACCAAAATTTGACTTATAATTATTTGCTATCAATAAATTGAATTGCCTTGTTTCATGGGCGTGAATCGTATTAACTTCATTAAAATTCAAATTCGATATTTTCAATTCCTTCCTGACAAAATGAATAAAACAACAAATTATGAGTTCATATAATGGTGGACGACAAATATGGCTGCTATTAGAAGAAAGAATGGCTCGAGGTGAAATGCGCGATAATTTCGGCCCAAAAATTGAGAATAAACTGTTGCAGTTTTAAGTCTCTCTTTCACTTTAATTCTGAAAGAACTATACTCGCCACATCTAACAACTTTTAAGGTCTTATAAGAATATTCTGGTCACCCATGACCTAGTGACCTAGTCTATCAGCCCTCCAAGGAATGACGTCGTGTATATTATTGTATTTATTTGATCTGCATATTAAGAAAACAAAATCAAACTCGATTCGAATTTTAATCATCACATTTATTAATTAGAAAATATAAATAATAATTAGATTAGAAATAGTAACAATAAATAAAATATATAGCTTTCATTTTTTCCAATATCAAATTAAATCAAAGACAATGAAACAATTGCATAATTATGGTTCGGAGACAAATAGAGTTAAAACTTGTTAAATGATGTTTTATATAGAAAAGCTGCAGTATTTGTATTTATTTAGCTATGAGAGTTTTTAGTATCTTCTGCAAATTCTCAAAATCTAGTTCTAAATTCAATATTTTAGGTTTTTCGTTTGGAGGTAAGTATGCATGTGGAATTTTCAGAAATCCAATATTGACTGCTTTCTCTTCATTGATTGCCTGAAACAAAAATTAATCAATTAATTTAGAAATACATTACATTTTTTCAATATGGAATCAAAGTGGAACATTGGCAATAAATGTGAGTACATTTTAAATTTTATAATTCATGTTTGACACTTTCACCGGCGGAAAATTGAGTTGCTGAATAACACTGCTACTTTCAGGAACGAGTGGCAGGGAAATCGTATTTTACTCCCGCGTGGTGGCACTAGTGTGGTGGGGGTCATCTGTGATCAATATGCCATGAAATGCTTAAGAATGATATAAATTCCAGATGACCTGCTATCGAAGAATTCGTGTTGGTAAACAACACTTTTAATAGTAGGCTAATGGCTAATCAGTAAAAATACAGCTGCACCATGAAGTTCAGAATTTTTTTATTAGTAATTATCATTTTTTTAAATGTGAGTTTATGCTTCAGGGATGTAACCATGATACTTAGTAGTGTTTGAAATTCAATTTAATTCAACGTTCATGTTCACACCATACATCATGTTCTGTTGTGATAATTATTTGGAGGTTAGAAGAAGAAGAAGAAGAAGTCTTTATTGAACCACGGAAAATTACATTTTCATAGAGGTCCTTACTCTAAAAAAAAACATGTCATATAAAAAAAGGAATCATTAAAATTATAGAGTACATTTTGTCAGGTACATTGGTTGCGTAGTATTAATAATAGCCTAATTATATCACAGAATTTGTCACTACCTATCATTACTTTGCGTTTTTACAAAAATTCTTGAAAAGATTACAAATGTAGCCAATTCAAAGCGTCTATTTACTCATAAGGTATTTTTTCAGTTTTTTATTAAATAATTTGCTGTTACATTCTTTTATTTCAACAGGAAGTTGATTATATATTTGAACACCTTTGAAGCAAATGGATTTTTTATAGGCTTCCATAGATGCATTGGGTAAGAATAACTTCTTGCTATTGCGTGTATTGTATGAGTATAAACTATCACATGTCGTAAATGACAGATTTGAAAATTTTTGACCGTTAATGGTTTGATGAATGTGATTGGATATTTGGAGTTCATACATATTATCTAAACTTAAAATATTGAAGTTTTTATAAAGATTAACTGTACTATATCTATAGGGCAGTGAGTATATATTTTTGATGGCTTTATTTTGGAGTGTCCTCACTTGTTTCACCAATTTATTACAGGCTGGAAACCAAATCATTAACAGATATTGAAGGTGGCAGTGTATTAGAGACTAATACACTGATCTTAGTAAAAATCTTGGAACATACCATGACAGACGCTTCAAGATGCCAATTGGGGCACTAATCTTTTTGGTCAAACGATTTATGTGATTACTCCATGACAGTGTTGAGTCGATGTATAGACCTAGATATTTTATTTCACAGATATATTTGATTTGGTTAGTGCCAAAGATAAGAGGTTCAGTTGAATTGATTTTATTGTTAGAGACAAACATGAAACATGACTTCTCGGTATTTAAAGTCAATTTGTGACTTGCAAGCCATTTTTCAACAAGTAGGAGATCAAGCATCATGTCCTCTCTTATTTGTTCTATAGATCTACCTGAATAAAGTAGTATGGTATCATCAGCATACAATTTTATTTTCCCTCGGAGGCGCAGGTTTGACATTGAATTGACATAAATCAGGAATAATGTTGGTCCTAATATTGTGCCCTGAGGGACACCACATGTTATTGTTTGATTAGTACTAGCTACACCATTAATTGCTACATGTTGTAGTCTGCCTGAGAGGTACTCTTTGAACAATTTCAAAACTACGCCTCTGATACCTGACCTTTCTAATTTGGACAATAGAATATGGTGATCAACTGTGTCAAACGCCTTCCTCAGGTCGAGAGACACCAGGCAGGTTATAGTGTAGGACTCCACTCAAATACTGGAATCATGAATGATCACCTACTTGCAAACTTCATATGTACAGGGTGGGCCAAATTGCACACTTTTAAAGGGAAAGTCCTATTCTCGAACCAGATGGAAGAAACCTAATGAAACTCAATGGTGAAATCCACATATCGATATCTGACTTCGTTTCGGAGTTACAAGGTGTTCTTCGAAAATCTTCATTTTTGAAAAGTGGCTACAGATATTTTTTTGGCAAAAATTGTCTGTTCTTATGAAAATAACTGCAAAGCATTGAGTTTGTGATAAAAATTGTACTCGAGACACTGAAATCGGCTTTCCTATATCTAGTTTAAGAATATAACTTGTTCTTCTTGAAAGAAAAGTTTCATCTTGCAACTAGGTATATGGTGACTGATTTCGGTGCCTGAATATCAATTTTCATGACAAACACAGTGCTTTAAAATGTTTTCATGAAAACGAAGAATTTTTGACAAAAAAAGTTTTAGCCACTTTTCAAAAATTCACATTTTTGAAAAACATCTTGTAACTCTGAAATAAAGATAGATACCGATATGCGGTTTTGAGTTTTTCAAGTGAATTGATTAACAGGCACCGACATCAGTATTTTTCTATCTTGTACGGGAATAGGACTTTCTCTTCGAAAGTGCCCAATTTGGCTCACCCTGTACATAAGATAATGTTTTGAAGAATCATACAACATACATTTGTTTCCTACTCAAGTCAAGGTTATTCCAGAGTATCAACTCCGTATTGGCTATCATACTGTTTCATAGATTCCACACACACAACGTGAATATAGGTTTAGTTGTCAGAGATACCAGGCAGCTGTTTCGCTCTACCAGACCTCATCAGTGGTACTTGACAAATAAACATACCCATGCATGAGACTATACTAGTGTCAAAGCAATATTGGTGAAAGTCGAATGCCCAGAATCGTCTTTCGTCGACGCACTATCAGATGCATTCTGCTTGGTCTAAAAATGAATAAGGCCAACGGTCCTGATGGAATTCCACCCATTATTTTCACAAAGTGTGCACCAGTATTGACACCGATTTCCTGCAAGTTATTCACTATCTCGTACAAGTCGTGAGTTTTTCTATCTTGCTGGAAAATAACCAATCCCCAAAAAAGGAAACAAGTGCCTAACCAACAACTATAGGCCATTCATTTCACTAGATTATTTGAGATTCTCTCTCCTCGTTTCTATAAAATAAAAATATAAGTACTATTTCAATATATATGTGTAGTAGGACAAATCAGATGATTTGCCCCAAAATTTCATTGTGTTTAATAAATTTTCCTATCACTAGAAGAACAATCCAATAGCTTTTCAGTGACACTTTGTTTGGATTTTTCTTTTAAAAAATTTGTTAAACGCAGTGACATTTTGGGGCAAATGATCTGATTTGTCCCTCTACAAATACAGTGTGTCCCACTTACCATGCTCACCATGGGTATCTTTTTAACGGTGAGAGATACGAGGTCGGTTAAATGACACCAAATGTGGAGTTTGTCAAGGCCAACTATAATGTGAAAAAATATTTCGATAAAATCTATTCGTTTTTGTTTTATACGCAAAAAGCAGATTTTGATCATTTTCATGTCTCCTCCGTAACTTCTTTATTTATGAAAATATTCGAATAGGAATTTCACATTCTCATGGCAGTTTTTCAAAGTGATTTCGAAAAAAATATGAAATTTATACCAACTCTTCTAGAATTTGATATATCAGCGCCAACTTTAGTTTTTCAAATGTAGGTCATAGCTCACTATGACTTAGTTACAAATAACTTTTTTTTCTCTTACAGATGATATGTCGCAGTAATAGTTTTGTGTTGATAACAACGGAGTTATCGTCATTTATACAAAAACAAATAATTATTTGGAAGCCGCCATCTTGAATTTATCAATTTTAACAAAAAATCATGATCTCTGATCTCAAAAACCCCCACTTACCAATTTTGAATGGAATCGGACCAAATCTTGTCCGCCATCTTGGAGCAGCCATTTTTTTAAATTTCAACAAAAATTCCATAACTCCGATTAACTTGAAATTTGGCAGGTGTTCATAATTTCGGTGACAATACATTATGGAATTTTTGTTGAAATTAAAAAAAATAGCTGCTCCAAGATGGCGGACAAGATTTGGTCCGATTCCATTCAAAATTGGTAAGTGGGGGTTTTTGAGGTCGGAGATCATGATTTTTTTGTTAAAATTGATGAATTCAAGATGGCGGCTTCCAAATAATTATTTGTTTTTGTATAAATGACGATAACTCCGTTGTTATCAACACAAAACTATAACTGCGACATATCATCTGAAAGAGAAAAAAAAGTTATTTGTAACTAAGTCATAGTGAGCTATGACCTACATTTGAAAAACTAAAGTTGGTGCTGATATCTCAAATTCTAGAAGAGTTGGTATAAATTTCATATTTTTTTCGAAATCACTTTGAAAAGCTGCCATGAGAATGTGAAATTCCTATTCGAATATTTTCATAAATAAAGAAGTTACGGAGAAGACATGAAAATGATCAAAATCTGTTTTTTGCGTATAAAACAAAAACGAATAGATTTTATCGAAATATTTTTTCACATTATAGTTGGCCTTGACAAACTCCACATTTGGTGTCATTTAACCGACCTCGTATCTCTCACCGTTAAAAAGATACCCATGGTGAGCATGGTAAGTGGGACACACTGTATATTGAAATAATACGAATACTTTTATTTTATAGAAACGAGGAGAGAAAATCCCAAAGAATCAAGTAAAATGAATTTTTTCAATATATCTATGTTTTCTCTCTTCGAACATTTTTCCAAACAAAGAGTCACTGACAAGCTATTGGATTTTTCTTTAAGGCTCCCTGATTTGTCCTACTACACATATATTGAAATAATACTCATATTTTTATTTCATAGAAACGAGGAGAGAAAATCCCAAATAATCAAGTGAAATAAATGTATTACCTCCTCGATTAACCTACAGACAACTATAGGCTGATTGCGCTGTTATAAGTAATCTCCAAAGTGATGGAGTAAGCCATCAATATTGAACTCATCAAATATCTGGAAAGCTCGGAAATCATGAATGATAGACAATATGGCTTTCGCCTCCGAAGAACAACTGGAGATTTATCGAGTTTTCTTTCAGGAAGATCGCTTCACGTTGTGGTGGACGGTGTATCGTCTGATACCATTGGCATCAATTCCGGCGTTCCACAAGGATCAATTTTGGCACCAACATTATTCCTTCTTCATATCAATGATCTGTTGGGAGTAAGAACTTGCCCCATCCACAGCTTTGCAGATGATAGTACCCTCCACACTGCGTTCTATTCCAGAATTCCCATTTCTTCCCAGGAAACTAAGAACTCACGGCGCAGGCAGGTCAATGCTGTCAATGAAGACCTTGCTGAAATCTCAGCCTGGGAAACCAACAACTTAGTTGAATTCAACGCCACCAAAACTCAAGCCTATATTTTCTGTAGAAAGGCGGAACTCAGTATGACCGATATTGTAATGTCTGGCACCACCATCCCCACCAAGCGTATTTCCATCAGCAACACTCTTTCATGGGATAATCATGTCAGATCCATCGCAAAAGTTGCTTCACAAAAACTCGGATTCTTGTTCCGTGCGAAAAGCTACTTTACACCTCAACAGCTTCTCATGATCTACAAAGCATAGATACAGCCAGTTCAAGAATACGCTGAAAATCCAGAAAAGAGCCATTCGTCTAGTGAGTGGTGCCACACTCACCTCATAAAACATATAACATAGAAAAGTCGACGACCTTCCACTTTTCTAGAGAAACTTCCACGGGAAATGTTCCTAAAAAATCTCTGATATAATTCCATCACTAGCAATACCAGTCAGACGAACTCGACAGGCCCAGTCAGCACATCCGTTGTCAACCTTGAAATATGTCGAACAACGCTCTACCAAAACTTGTTCGTCTAAAGAACGGCAAAGCTTTGGAATTATTTGCCAATAGAAGTATTCCCAAGAACTTCCATAAGTTCAAAAAAATTCAATACCTACCTCCCCTCCTAAACAGCAAACTAAAACCGTTGACTATTACATTTCCTTCTTATTCCATTCTTCCATCCAAGTTATTGCTATTTTTATAGCACATCGTGTTTTTAAAGACAGGTTTGGGCATGGTTTCTTATAATGAAAAGTTTTGATAAGTCAACCAACAACATAACAAGTATAGTGTACATCGGACTTCAATTGATAGGGGCGTATTTGAATGTTGTCATCTAACCACGATAGGTGAGCCGAATTAAGAGTTAAATCATGAAAATCATCCATATCTCAAAGTGGTCCAAAGTAATTTCAACCGAATTTGTATTGCTTGTTTTTCTTTTGGAATTGAAAGGGCAAGTGGAAGAAGGAGTTACAAATATGAGTTTGTGAGAAAAATAGGTTTTAGTAAAGTTAGCTGGCATTTAATGAAAGCTAGTTTAATAATTTGATAAAAAGTAGGAACTGCTTATGCACCTTTATGTTTTTGATAACTTTTATATCTCTCTAAAAATTACACCTACATATAGATGAGTTATCAACTGAAACAAATCGATGTTTCGCACATATTATGTGATACAGTGAATGTAATCATAATAAGGAAATATACGATTGTAACATTGAGGAAAAATATGCTAGAAGGATGATTAATCTATTAAAACAAAATCGATAACTCCACATCTGGCTCTTGTTCATGGATATTCTGCTTCATACATAAGTTTTTATATGGGTATAATCTTTCCAAAGTAGGTTGGAGCAGCTCCAACAAAACACATACGTCGCGGGTTGTTGGTCCAATAATCAGAAAAAAATCTCCTTTATCTATAATTTCTAATTGGAAAACGAATTGTCACTTTTGTGTCAAAATTAATTATAAGCAATACTTCATCATACATAATATTTGAATTAATATGCCTTACATAAAAAAGAAGCAGACAATAGTATTTGGTGATTGGAGGAGACTGGCGGATACATTCGGCATACGGAATCGAGAAGAAATAGAGAAATAATGGGAAGGAGAAAGGAGGACCAAAATTCTGAAGAACATCACAAAAAGATTGAACAAGGTTTAGAGATCCATTCCTGATGCTCTAAAATTAAATGCTATGGTTTATGGGAATTATTTGTATACTTAGAAATATGTGTTTAATACATTACAGTCATTCCTGATTGAAATTAGATATGAAATATGATAAAATTGGAAATAAGTGATAATACAAATTCGACAACCGTGTTTTCATTGTTTCCTATCATTTTGTGTTTCCTATCATTAACAGATTCGCAAGTTTCAATTTGATTTTGTTCAGTTCAAATTTGGATTTGTTAAATCATGCCTAATCCTTTTGTCCCAATTTGAATTTGGTTGTTTCCATTCTGAAAATGATAAGTCTCGATTTGAATCTGTTTATTTTCAATTTGAATGTGTTAAATCCATACTGAATCATTTCATCCCAATTCGGAGATGATTATTCTCATTTTGAAAATGATTAGTTTCAATTTGAAGGTGAAAAGGTACAGATTCAGTTATTATTTTGGGATCAGTGAACATCCAATATTATACCCTGCCTACCAGCTATTCAATTAAAACGACAATGGAAACGTTACCGAATTCATTACACGAATATAGAATAATAATGGTGTTTCATTTGAAGGAATCACCTGTTAGTTTTCGCTCAGGCATACATCACCTTGTATTTTTATGAAATAAATTAGAAAATCGTTTCTCAAAATACAAAATTTACCTGTCCGATGAATCTGATCGGGGAATAATGTCAAACAGTGAATTTAAAGTGATGTATTAATTTTGCTGGTTAGCGTAGTTGTTGGAATATCTACTTTTTGTGTCATACGAATTGAAGTGCAACTTCAATGTAAAAATGTTTATATCATAAATGATCCTTTCAAAGGCGGTTGCAAAAAATGGTGATATGGAATATTGTGATACAGTTTCCAAGAATACGTCCAAATAAAGAAAGCAATGTAATAAACTTATGCCCCTCAACAAATCCCAGTTGGAGGCATACAAATTAGTTTCATGTTTACTTTTTTGATCTGGCATTGAATGACAAGGCAAATGAATGTTATCTTATCAATGATCAATATTTATCCTCAATACCTTTTTTATTTATCTGTATGTCCTTCATTCATTATTTAGTCTCATATGGCACATTTTATGCAAAATGTATCTCTTTAATCTGTCGATATTATGGAATTGGAATCATTTGGTGATGATGATGTTCATTTTACTCGTTGCGTTCTAGACGGTAACACTTCTCGATGATGATTGCGTTGACATTTGTCATCCGTGGACCATCAAAAAATTATAGTCAAACCACTACACACTAAAGAAAATCAATATTTTTTTGTTGGCATAACGACCCAATAGGAAAACAGCTCACTATTGGCACTAAAAAGGTTGGTTTCCTGTCACATTCCTATTTGTAATTAGTTCGAATACAATGATGGCTGAACTTGCTAAAGTCGATTTTTTCCCATAGTTGTCTCTCTTCATGGCATGATGTGGACAAAGAGAGTTATAGAAAAAAATCAAGTTCAGCAGGTAGAGCAAGCATAAACGAACAGGCTTAATGTATCTAGACAAACCTTGGTCATCTCTTTCGTTGGGAAAAATGTTAAATCAGATTCGATCCTGCCACCGTGTTTCCTCTTGACAACCTCAGTAGCGACTTTAGATTGGAAATGTTCAGCTCTCCTATTCAGTTCCAGTATTCTATTGTGTTCATTGACGAAATGGCGTTGCCATGCCGCAGGTCCGTTACCAGGTTTCGTCTTGTAAATTGCAGGGAATGTCGGCTTGGCCAGTGCCATTAGTATATCCTGGAACAATTATGATACTATAGTTCACTCAAATACATAATAACACTATACATATATACACTTTCTTCCTCCTTAGGACTTACTGGTGAAAGTATTTCTCAGGGGTATACAATAATGATAATTGATTTTTTATTCAAAAAGGAATATTCTCAGATAAACTATGAACATGAAAAAATGGATATATATAAAAAGGAATACATTGAGAATTCACATTATCTATGTGATAAAATTTTCAATTCTTTCTCGGTTTATTCAACAGGAAACAGCTACTCTCCTGGCTATATGCCACGACGAACATTGAATTATATCTATTGAACACACACGATAAGAATTAGAAAACAAATTCTTCTGAGAATATGTATATGCACATAATATCATTCTGAATATTCATGAGAAAACAACTACTTTGCTAGCTATATGCCACGTCGAACATTGAATTATATCTGTTGAACATCCAAAAGGAGAGCATGAAAAATAAAAATCCTCTGAAATTGAAAATTGACATTCTCTCTCAAATCTGAAATAATCTGATGTATCATGATGAAATTTGAAATGTATAGGAGAGGTAGATTTGTTTAAACTTTGATCTTGACCAGCTTGGAACTTCCAAAAAAATCATTCGTATAAGTGATTTGGGAATTATATCTCTCACAAACAGGTTATATGACTTTATTCGAATTAACTCATTTCGGATATCTAACCCTCCTCAGTAACCTGAAGTCCAGTTATTCTTTTAGCCATTCTTCACGATATCAAGGGGTTCAAACTTGAACGATGGAAAATTGTAATTTTTATAGATCGCAGATTGGTGATTAGGTTTTCTCAATTCAGAATGTATGATGAATATCAATTTGTCATACATCCAAAAACGATTATTTTTTTAATTGGGAACATTTTCAATCTTCATACTGCATAGATTTTCTAGGCTATCTTTAGCTGGGTAGATATATACTACCCTTTATTTTTTGAGGATAAACAAAAAAAGTTTACACATGGGGCGATTTCTAAATTCAATAAATTACCCGATGATATCTAAAACAGCCCAAATATTATGCAATTCAAAAATAAAGTGAAGAAATATATTTATATGCAAAGGAATGATCAAAGCTGTTATTTTTCCCATTCTTGTTCACTATAATATGACTGTTATTGTGAGATATCTTAATGATATGTGAGTTTTGTTCACTATTTGTAATTTCAATTATACAACAGTCGATAATACTTCATGAATGATCTTATACCAGGAATTACTGTCTGATCATTCATGTCATTTCTACTAGAAAATTAATTATACTTTATATATTATTCGTATGAAATGTATCAATGAAGAAGAGAATGTAATGCAATAACTGAAATATAATGAATAAATAAATAAAAATTGCCTGCACGGCAATTTCTTCATTGGTCAAGATTTCTTCAATCTAGATACGGACCCTCGGCTTCGTGGGCATGTCTACAAACTGCGCAAAGAGAATTTTCGCACTTCGACAAGACAACATTTCTTCTCCAACCGTGTCGTCAATCAATGGAACTCTTTACCCAATGGAGTTGTGTCTGCTCCATCTCTGAACTCGTTCAAAAGCCGCCTGGACCACCATATGAACAATAACTAATATCGACATATTGAGTACTTTTCATACTTGGTTTCTTATTCTCTTATTCGCTATTTTCTAAGCATCCAATGCATCCAATTATTAGACTATAGGGCACAAATTGTTACATAACTTTGTTATCTTGAGCATTATGAGCCTCTGGCTCCTGCTCTTATCATTTTTGTAATAATAATAATAATAATAATAAATAAAAATTAATAAACGCCTCTCTTTGACGTATGAATATTTTCTTTCCAATTCCGGTTTCGGCGTGACTGGTCTAATTTTTGATTTTCAAATTTATTTTATAGTAATTTTGCCATGATTTTTCGAAATCAATGTTACCCACATAAGTGATCGATTTGAAAAAACGACATTCTGAACACATTGCAAAGTTTTTAGTATAATTCTTAATCTCATTTCAATAATAAAAGATTTTGGTATACCTTGATAAGCCATTGTAAAAATACTAGTACAAACTTTTCCACAAAAATCGTTATGATTAGAAAACGGTTGGAAATTATTATAGGGACATATATGTAAAAGAATGCAGGGTATTTAATTCAAAATAAAGACGTTTATGTTCACTTCCGGTTTAATTCCTGACCGCAAGGCCAAAATAATTATCTGTGTCAGTGTAAAGTGAATGGTCTTGTGTTTTGTCAGCTTGAGTTTGAATATATTGTGATAATTTCACGATTGAAAAAACACCAATTCCTTTCAATTCTGAAAATTAAAAAATTATTTATTTACAACTTATCGATTCTCTGACCAGCCTAACCACGTTCATTGCATTTTGAAATCCGACCAGATAGACCAATTACATAATATTAGGTAAACGGCTGAGTTGAACAAGCATCTTAACGATCTCAACAAGTTCATCATAGATTATTTATTTATTTATTTATTTATTGAACAAATAACTTCCAGACATAATAGGCTCTGGTATAAGGAAGTACATAATTATATACCTATAGGTAAACATATCATTATACAAAATATATCAACAACTGTAAATTGACAAACAAAGAATAATATTTGTAAAAAAAAATGGCATGTTCAATTTTATCCAGTTCGCTCAGGAATAATCATTTTTTTCACTTCATTTTTGAATGAACCTATATTTCTGCAATTTTTTATATTGTCAGGTAGTTTATTGAATTCAGTTAAGGCTGAATGAGTGAATCTTTTTTGTCCGATAATGTAGCTAGCGGCGTCAAGATGAAACAAGTTAGTCTTGTTTCATGAGTATGAATTTCAGAATTCCGTATCAACATAAAATTCGACTTCAATTTTTTATTTATGATATTATATGATATTTTGAGAGTTTCAATCCTATATATTTCATCTAAAGAATACGTATTTGTTATTTCAAACAATTGATTGGTTGGTGTATGAATTAAACGCGACCTATTTAAAATTTAACATAGTGGTTCTTATGGCTACAAATTTGATAATAATATATGTAGGTTCTAATTCGAAAAATGTCCTGATTCTTCTCATAAAAAAAATTCGACTTTCGAAAATCGTAGAATTTGCATCAAGCTGTTGTTGTTCAATAACTACTGGTGCGAAATATAAGCGAAATTAACAGCGCCGTTTTTGTAATGGTGCATATAATGGAATTAGAAAATATTCATAGTATAATGGATATTTTCATAATGTAGAGCTTGAAAAAATTAGATGATTAAAAGAAAACATCAACTTATCAGTCGGACTCTGTATTTTTTTTATCTCATGGAGCGCATGAAAGGTAGGATAGGGAGAGGAGGTAGGTGTTGGAATTTTTTTGCACTTTTGGAGGTTATAAGTTGTTGAGAAAGTTTGAATAACATAATTCTAATTTCCAACCAAAATTACAGGCAACAATACAGATCCATGAACAGCTCTTATTTAGTGGCATTGTTTCATTCTGAGCCCTAAGACAGCACTCATGAAAGTGGAAATATAGGAGATGAAACTTTCTCTTTTCAAATGGAATAAATTGAAAGTAGAAAAATAATCTCAAAAATAGCTATTTAAACGCTATAAAAAGAAGCAATTAAAATTTTTCCTTCTAAATTTCAACTATCAACTGAAAACCTCATTACACACAATTTATATGATCATAAAATTTAATTGAATTGAAATTAAAGAAAATTGAACTTAGCAGAATTTACATAATCAAATTATGGTCATATAAATTGTGCATAATGAGGTTATAAGTTGATAGTTAAAATTTAATAAGAACATTTTATTTTATTTTTTTTAGAGCGTTTGAATAAAAGCTTTTTTAAATATTTTTTAACTTTTAATGATCATTATCAATTGGGCTGCGATAGAGAAAGGGTGGTCTCGAAGATCGAGGCTCGACGAACCCTTTAGTGAAATAACCGCGTGTTCGAGTGGCAGCTGTGAGAGATTGGTCCGGTTGGGTCGACGATTTGATTATTTATGTAAGTACCCATATTTGTTTTTAATAAAGCTTGTTAATCTGATACTCTGACCTGTGCGTTCTCATTGATTGATCTCCTAATGTGGCTCTGTATCTTACCTGATTCAATTAGCTGGTCAAGTATCGAGTAAAGCCTCAGAGGATACAAAATCTAATACCTCCCGATTAGCAAAGAGTGTGTTTCTACTAGTGTCACCCCAGCTTCGCTCCCCGAACAAGCTAAAAACTTAGAGGGTGTGACAATATCTTTACTTTTTAAGGCTGTATGACACCTGCTAAATTTGATGACAATTATGATAACAAAAATGATGACAAAAATATTTTCAATGTGCCATACAGTATAAATATTTATAATATCGAAATATTGTCACGATAGGAACCAAAAATATTCATAGCTACTATTCAAAATTATATTGATTCAAGATTCATTAATAAAAGTTCATTATTCATTTTATCGTATAACATTCGATTAAAGGAAACGAGTATAATGTTTCACTCACGTTGGCAGCTCATTCAACCGGAATGAAATACCCGCATATGGAGTAAAACGCTGACTATATCAAAATATTCTAAATAAATATCGAACAGCCGATAAGGCAAGGCATCAGTTTGGATCTGATCAGCTAACCTTCACTATGGTTCATCCCCTGCATCTGCTAGAGATTATTTTGTAAGTACTACTGTCACAATCGTTATGTTGTCAAACTATTAAATGTTTCTTTTCATTGTGAAGTCTGATGTATTTACGTTTGCATTGAATCTCGTTTGTTAAAATCACTAATGAAACTAATTTCTTTCAATAAACTGTAGCTTTATAACGAACAACTGTTTTGATTTCTCGGCCTCCCAAGCGAGTTCACCCCCGAGTCACCACCCTGTAGCCATGGGTCGTGACATTATGGTGGAGGAGCTCCTCCTACCTGATGGTAAAGCTTCGGTTTCCTCCCATCTCGTGGCATAATCCGTTGCTACCA